GTTTAACATTCGGAAGATCACTGATATATCCGAAAATTATTCTCTGACTTTCCCCGGTCGTTGCGAATTCTCCGACTCTCTCTGATTTTTCCGGTTTTCCAACGCCGGCAACCCTGTTTATTCTCACTGGTAGCATCAAGAGAGGTTATGTCACTGCATCATTCTAAGGCCTGGTTCTACTGCCTTTTGTTGCGGACTCATCCTCTGGTCATTGAATTAGCACTGTGGGTCTGGGCCGCCGAAACACAAGAGTCGAATTCCCACGAGAGGCTTTGGATAAGTTTTGGACGTTACTGCCAACCCACGTGACATCAAAGCAGCATTCATTTCGGGTTACGCGACGGACGCTGCGTCTACAACATTCGGTTTTCATGCTGGCAGCAATGACGACCACATCCAACAAATTCTCGACCCACCTCCCGAAAAGTGGTTGGATAACAACTTGGGCCAAAATTCATCAAGCGGTTGAGTTCAGTTCTTGACCTCAGCAGTGCGTTTCACTCCTTTGGGATGCAACCCTGCTAATCTGGACGAAAAATTTACCAAATCCGCGGAAAACGGACCACTAGACAAGGTACGAATTTCATTATTCTAATACATGTTTCTTAACCAAAATTTCTCGTAAAACACGATACGACAAACAAAAATTACCGAAATCAACTCCTCACAAAGATATTTAACGATTCCTGATTCGTGAATTCAAACCACTCGCTCATTTAAACTCAATGCTCCACGTGATTCACATCGCACGCTAAAAATTATCATGGCAGTCTCAGTGATAAATATCTAGCAACCTCAATCTTAGCAAATTGCTAATAGTTTGAACAACACTTGGTAGGAAATGAACATTGCTCGATTGAGAAGCTTGCTGAAACCGTTGTAGTGGGCGATTTGACTCGCGTAGAGCCTTGAGTTTCTTGTGAGCGGGCAGTTGAAATTCCTCGTAACCAAAGTGAAATAAAAGCGTTAATATCTTCGTTAGAAGTTGGTTTCAGTAATTTTCGTCGTGCGAATCGTGTTCCATGTGAAATTCTGGTTAAGGAACATGTATGAGATTGCTTAAATTCGTACCTTGTCTAGTGGTCCATTTGAGACAAATTAAAGTGGCCCTATTTGGTCTGAGAGAATAGCCCGTAGCTGAAAAAGGAAGGTCCGAAGGGCTGCCCCCCCCCCCCCCCCNCCCCCCCCCGAAAAACGTGACTACTGCCTCTACTGCTGTGGGTAACCTGTTGAATTTTAACCGGAGGATAAGACTCATATAGTAGCGGAGGATGACGCTCTGTGCAGAGGCCTAAATTCTTCGTCTGCGCTTGCCAACCGAAAGTAAAAAACAGGCAACTTATCTGACGACACCTCTAGTCATGACCGTAACTCTGTTGGCATCCACCTAAAGCATGATAAATGCTGGTCGGATATCTGACGTCAGATGAATAGCAAGGACTTGCGGTCGGTTTCTTCGGTACGGCCTTGTCTCCACGAGCCGTTTCACGAGATTTGTCCCAGGGAAAAATCCCACTTACGAAGTTGGGAAAAATATTGAGTTAATCAATATTTTTCCCAGTACCAAGTATGGTAATTGTACCCCTAGGACCCACTGAGAGAAGAAGAAGAAGAGAAAACGAATTGTGCGATATTTTATTCATTACTACATTGTTAATGTTTGTTTAGTTAAAATAATGTGTCTAATTGTCAATTGAGTGCAATTATTATTTTAATCCCGGTTAAACACTCGACACTAACCAATTTATCTTCCCGCGAAAACTAGTCGCAGGACTGTATGAGCCCCGTCCCGTGGAGACGGTAACTGGGAAAAATCCCAGAAGTTTCATTCCTGCGATTCGAACTTGGGACAAATCCCATGAAAACGTCCCGTGGAGACAAGGCCTAAGGAAATGCTTGAAGTCTTGAATCAGATGGAGACCACTCTTTTCGGACGGAGCGCATTCCTCATTGCAAGTTGCAGCCGCGTGATTTTCCCCCCTTCTTTTAATGGTTTTATTCTGGCCCGGCGACGCGACGCGTTAGTGTGTTGGTGTTGGCGTTGGCGTCAGGTTTAATTGATCGCCGCCAGGTGAGATGAGTGTCATGATGCTGGTGTCAGTCAACACATTCCACTCATCGCTTTTCATTCCTGTCCAGTCAATTTTTTATCCCATACCTCCCGTCCCGTACAACAGGCCGCTTTGGGGCCGATCACCAACTAATTCAGTTACTCGCTTATTTTATGCCGATTTTAGCCACAAGCTTAAGTGACTTGGGTTTAGAATCGAACTTTTTTGTAATTGTTTTGCCTTGCTGTCTTCGCAAAATAGTGTGGACCCAGCACTATGTTACTACCTTGTTGCGTACAGTTTGGGCCATACATGTTCAGTGTTTTTTATTTGTTTGTTTGGAATTAGATTAAACTCGCTTTCTTCCCCTGATTTTGAAATTAACTTACCCGAAATGAAGCATACTGAGGTATCTCGCACTATACTACGGTAACTCATACCATCACTAAGGTATATGTGCTTTATGATTGTATGTTGCCTTTACTAGTATTACCTAGTGGCGTTCCATATAACCACTAATTGGTTTATGAACATAGATTTTTCTCAGTGTGGAATGACATGATGTCATTTAGGTACGGAGAAATTATGTGGTAGAGTACGGAACTTTCTTCGGTGGCTCGCAAATATCTTTAGAATCACTGCCAATATCACATAACGACCGCAAGCAATCCCGGTTCCCACCAAAGGCCAGAGAGGTCCTTCAAGCCCGCCACATCCCATTTCGGGCCCTGGTACCAGATTGAAGGTCCGGGCCCCAAGCACGGAGGGGGGGGGGGTCCGAGGGGCATCCCCCGAGAAATTTTAGAATTTATACGACTAATCGGACGCATTTTGAAGCTTCCTTAAAGAATTTTTCCATCAATTTCTGCGGAATAAATATGTTTTTTTTTCTACTCTCAGCACAAAATACCTACTTGCGAATTGTTGCATTCAAAACATCTGGAAAATTTTTATTTTTTTTGGGGGGGCATATGATACTATTTTCAGTTCTAAGAGGGCCAGGCCCCCCTGGACTCCCCCTTCGTTTGTCTATGGCAAGGTAGTTGAGCCATGAGCCATTGAAGTCGAGGATGCCCAGACTGGAGACTCTTAGCATCTGACGACGGAAGAAAATGAAAAGCAGTTACTAAAAATATCCCTCAGAACTTAAAATCTTGAAAATAGATAGAAATTCTCCAAGAAGTATACTTCTTTGAAAATTAAGAAAGAATTCTACAGTGCCCCATCGTGTTTCTGAAAATCTATTCACCTTCTGCGAAATTTTTAGGGTAAATTTTTCACATTTTCTTACGAAACAAGGGTTTCGTGTGAATTCGTTGTGGTTTTTCACGGGTAACACGGGCCCCCTCCGGGGCCCGGGCCCCGTTACCAGGTACCCAGTATCCCCCCCCCCCCCCGTTTGTGGCGGGCCTGGGTCCTCAAACAAGGCACGGAGCAAGCCGTTCGGGAGAACCGCCATCGTGAGGGCAGAATATGAGATTAGAATATTTATCAGAATATACTTAGCCTTAACATTTAGGAGGTTACATCACTTCTACAAGATAATCATTACCTGTCAATGCATGTAAAATTAAGATAAGTATGACAAACCATTAATGTTTAACTATTCATTGTAAAATGGTTTATTGGTTGAGCATTTCATACGGTTGCCATTAATCCATGACTCGCACGATTTCGGCGAAAGTTTCATCGTCCTTTTTCGTGCTTAAAATAAATGTGTAAGGTTGGTGCCCAAGCTCAGAATCTTCAAATGACCTCATGGATCAATGCATATTCTGTGGACTGAATTAAACAGAAAGAAACTGGGCCACCTCTTTTCTCCAAGGGGGAGGCGTTGAGTCAGTAGTATAGTTTTGATCTTAAGTAGCCGTACGTTTTCTCCTCTCTAAAATTCTAAATTGAGAAAAAGTATTCTTAGTGTGAAAATAGACTTTATCTATATAACATTGAGTCTTATGGAGAAATAAAGCTTTGAACAGTGTCGATGCTTCAATGATCGTTTATCGATGTTTCCCCCCTTTGAAACTATGGTGAAGAATCGATTATTGAGGTCATTAATCGAACGCCCTATTTATCAATCGTTTTCCATAGGTCTAAAAAGCAGATCAATCGATAAATCGCAACCATCGCCACTGGCTTTGAGCCCCTTTTTCTCCGATCAATTTTATCGTGATTTGGTTCCTTTCCGTTAAACTCCGCCCTTGTTATCCGTCACATCGCTTCTATTAATTAAAGTATCCCAAAAATATTTTACGCATGGGCACTGGCACAGAATTCACTTATGTTTTTCGTTCAAGGTTCAAGTAAAAAACAGCCCCAAGGTTCTTTTTCAAGGTCATGTTTTTTTTCGCACCACGCACACATTTTTAAGTGGTCCTCTCTAATGTTGACTCTCGATCATTATCTTACCCTCTTATTTTAAAAGTATTATCACGTATCTGTCTTTCCCAAGCTGACATATTGTTTTTCTCCTCCCTTATATGATAAAAAAAACTACCCTCGCCATTACTTGAGAGCAGTGGCGAGGCGTGAATGATCGATTATCGATATTTCTCCATTTGAAGCTATGGTAAAGAATCGATTATTAAGGTGTTCGCTGCGAACACCCTGTTTATCGATCCTTTTCCTTAGGTTTATATGACACAACAAGCGATATATCGCAAAGCACGCCAAGCCACTGGAAAGATCCAACCACCTACATATCAATAATAGTGTTGCTTGGAACTAGTATGCAACTTCATCTTTTTTTCTTCGCGGAGGAGGAGGGGAGGTAAATGAATCCCGCATTCTTCCGGTCAAATGCATTTTAGTACTATCCACCTGTTGCCATTGAGAAGAGTCTCGAAAAAAGGGAAGTCTCACCGCAGGTTCATTAGCTGCAACTCTACGCATCTGTTCCCCTTTTCTCCTTCGGGTATAAAAACTAATTGTGTTCTGTTTGTTTGTCAGCAGGTAGTGATGAGCTGCTATGCGCGGTAGCGCTGACCTGATTTCCCAGTCTCAAAATGGTTATCGTAACCAGAGTAAGTTGAATTTTAATTATTTTTTTTTTCTATTTTTAACTCATTTATCATACATATTTAAAAAATCATGAATTCAATTTGACCGTAAAGACCGTAAGTTCTACGGTCAAGAATAACGACGAAACATCAGGAGGATTAATATTAGAGCGTCAATAGCAACGGTTGCCTTAAGAAAATAGTGGGTGAGTTGCGCCAGTCATATATAGTCGTGTTTTGGTGGTTTAAGCTGACAAATTACCATTAAATAATAAGATTTATTCCGACGTCAAGTCTTTACGTCCAATATAAACGGAGACATCTTTCATAGAAAGACACGGCACATGACGTCATCCACCGCCGTATCGCATACCGTGATTTCTTCCAGCTCTGGTTGCTCGATGTGAAATACTTATAAAACCAAGGTGGATGAAACCATGGTATGCAATCGGTGGTGGATGACGTCATGCACCATGTGTTTTTCAGTGAATAACATCTATCTTAATCTTGGACGTAGACATTTTGCGTTTGGACAGATCTTATTATTTTTTGCCTATTATTAATCCTGAAGGTGATTCGTCAAGCTCAGTGGCGTGGTCGAGCTGGCATGCGATTTATCGCATTACTTAGGTCAAAAATCTCGGCAGATTTTGAATTTTTTGCAAAAAAAAAAAAGGACGATAGCCCCTGCGCATGAGCCTAAAGAATCACCCTAAACCCAAATACCGGCAAAATTCAGAGAAATAAAAGCAGAATAGTGTTTGGAAAAAACCTCGCATTCGATACAGAAATCGATAGCTGAATCGAATGCGAGGTTTTTTTCCAAACACTATTCTGCTTTTATTTCTCTGAATTTTGCCGGTACTTGGGTTTAGGGTGATTCTTTAGGCTCATGCGCAGGGGCTATCGTCCTTTTTTTTTTTTGCAAAAAATTCAAAATCTGCCGAGATTTTTGACCTAATCGATGCAATATATCGCATGCCAGTTCGAGCACGTCACTTGAGCTTGACGAATCACCTTAACCATCAAATAACGATTTTGTGATTAGCGCAACTGACCGTCATTGGACGTGGGAATTAGGCGTTTGGACAGATTCATGTCCAATCGCCAGAATAAAAAAATAGCGGTTCAACAGATATGATTATTTTTTGCGAATTAGAAGCTAAAACCACTGAAACACGAGTTTCTGTATAGCGCAAATGACTCTTTGATACACAGCAGTAATCTGAACGTGAATTGTTACCTCAACCCTTTCTGGTGGATTCAAGCGTGGTATATTTTCACAATCAGATTCCTCTCGGTTCTAGCCTCAGGGGTTTGAAAAAGATTTCTCGGGAAGTTTCATTTTAAACATGCTTCAAGAGGTGATGGTTTCATTTTCTGCCGAGGGGGAGGGGAAACTCTTTAATGTGAAGTCATTATCTCAGCATTGTTCAATATCTGGACGTTTGCTTACTTTCGGTTTCGTCAGACCTACTCGAAGCAAAAATACTTTTACGTGATTGTTGGCTTTTCCCAATTGAAGCAGCTCTATCCAGTGCTCCAGCTGCCAAGGTCCAGTTAGTGTCAGAATCTTACCAATAAGGCCAACGCCAACAGAGGCCATTTTTCCCAGCTTGGTCAATACTTAAGGGTCACTATGCTTGCTCGAAGGGCAAAATATATGCATATTTTTTTTTTAAATAATGTCTAATAAATATACTAGATGACTTTATTTGGCTCTTTAAAATATGAATTTCTCCGACTGATTACACATTGTCATACCTAAATCCGCTTTAAGGGGTTTTTAAAAGTTTTAATAAAAAATCTTGCGTAAGTTTCAGCATTTTTGTAGCTGATCGCGCATATTTAAGTCTATCTTTGGTGGCGGCGTGGTGTGCTTTGCGAAATATCGATTGTTATGCCATTTAAACCAATGGAATAGGATCGATGAACAGGGTGTTCGCAACGATCACCTAGTAATCGATTTTTTACCATAGCGTCAAATGGTCAAATTTCGATCTTTCGGATTTGAAGACTGGTCCGGTAGCCCTCCGGGCCACGGTGCGCCCACTGGCTAAAGTGCGTAATTGAGGAGCACCCGAGCACCCTCTATGGCATTTCCTGTCTTTTTCAATTAAAATAAAGAAGGCTCCAGGGCGGGCGCTGCAAGACTCCGAGAGTGATTAATTGGACTACGTTTTACAATTATAGGAGCTACGATTTCTGGCTCAGTCTAGAAACAACGTATGTACCATTAGTTTCCATATCCACATAAGTATTTTTATGGATGAGCCAAAAATTTTAGTTCCCAATCGCAAAATGAAGTCCAATTTTTAATAGATTCGAATTTTTCTGCAGAGTTGGGTTCCGCTGAGCACACATGGACATTCGTCTCATGAATCTCACTGTCTTCTTACTTATGATCAGGTGAATTGAGAATTTGCAGGTGTCTGAAATTTGATGAATTTCGTGTTTAAGTGGAAACTACTGAGTGAACTGAACACGAGGATACCCTTGATTCATGAATTGAACAATTATTGGAGAAGATAAGACAGAATGACCTAATATGCTAAAATACATGTGTTTAAATGGGAAATGCCGCCAGATGACGTCACTAGGCTATGCATTCTCTCACTTTTAAATATATTTTTATACTGTTTCTCATACCAGAAAAAATTATAAAAAAAACTGTGAAATGAACTCTTTAAACACTTTCAGATGAAGAAATAAAAAATTAGCGTGCAAATTCTCCATTTCCTACAAACCAGCGGTGATATAACCGTGTGATCGAATGAGAGGTTTTTCCATCTGCTATTGGAACTGGACCACTGGTAAAATTCCTCTTTTCTTAGGGAGTGAAATGCATGGTCTAGAATGCACAATGATGGTCGAATTCCTTATGTGTAGCCACCCCAAAGAAGGAGGGTTGAAAGTCATAACTTTTGAGCAGTTTGACTCAGAGACTTTAACGCATGAGTAGAAAAGTTGGATGGGGCAAAACATGGTGATACAACTACTTCGACTTACAAGTAGGTAAAATTGCATATCCAAAAAATGAAGGAGAACACGAACTCTTTTCGGCTGACTCAGAGACTTTAACGCATGAGTAGAAAAGTTGGATGGGGTGAAGTACGTGATGCTTTGCTTCGAATCGGCGCGGCGCGGCAATTCTGCTCGAATTAAGAGTAGCCACACAGGAGAGTACGGACATGTCGAAATGAATGTATTTCTGCTAAACGAAACTATGACCATTAAGACATGAACTCTGAGATCCATAAGAATACACATATGCATTGCAGGGCTCACGGAGTCACGGCATAATGCTTACAATTCCGTTTGCCAGAAATGCGTCCAAATGTGGTTCTCTTCGAGCCCAAAAGGGCAGCCAACTGTCTAACACAAAAAATGTCACAGCCAATCTTCAGATTCCAATATCAGACCAAGATGGACAAGAATGTTCATAAATGGGCGTTCTTCCGCAAAAATGAGTAAATTTAAGCACATATTTATTGCAAAAGAAATACGTCAGGGTGTCTACTGTACGGGGAAAAGTGTGGATGCACGGATTTTGGAAGATCGGTATGGAAGTACGAAAAAGGTACGAATTTTCCGTTAAAAGGTATGGAAATTCGAGATTTTCGTGATTAAATCTAAAAAGTAGCTTTGTGGGTTTGCGGTTTCTATTTATTGAGTTCCCGGTTCGATTTCTCGTGTTCTTTGGGTTATTCCTTTGTCATTCCATTGATCCACTTTTCCAATCCGAATACAGTTATAAATGCGCGTGAAGTGAGGAAAATGTGAGGAGAGTGTAAAGAAAAGCAAGGATTTTTAAGAATCGCCAAAAATATTAATTTTCGGGCAAGTTTGGAAAAAGCAAGGAAAGTGTGTATTGAATAAGCAATGAATTTGAATGACAGGGTACCAATAGACACCAGGTGCTATACAAACGACGGTTTGCAACAATAGAGAATTTGCAGGTGTCTGAAATGTTGTAAATTTCATCTTTAAAATGACACTACTAGGAAAACTGACAATGAGTACAAGGATATCCTTGGTTTCTAAATTGAACAATTATTGGAGATCATATGACGAAGAACCTAATTTGCTAAAATACATGTATTTAAATAAATGGGAAATGCCGCCAGATGACGTCGTAAGGCGGGGCATTTTCTTACTTTTAATTAAATTTTTCTCCAATTTCCCTTGTCAGAAAAAAAGTATGAAAAATACGCACTGCGAACTCAGCTCATTCGGCACTTTCAGATGAAGCAATAAAAAATTGGCCTGCAAATTCTCCATTGTCAAATAAATCTCTCCGGATGATTTGAATTCATAGTTTGGCTGCACCTATGGGCCCTGAAAGCTCCATAGCCAGAGTTGCTGAAAGAAATTTCATTGAATGAAATTTCGTGAAATTTCACCAGAAATTTCATGAAATTTCTTTTTTCCTCATGAAATTTCTTCTTATAATCTTTCACGAAATTTCTGAACTCTGTCCATGGCCTAACCTCAAAATTAGAGACTTATCCGTGCTCTTCTACAAAGGTTCTCTAGCTGAAGCGATGGCTGTTGCTTTGAGCTCCGTTCGATGCTGCGGAGAGGGGAGAGTCGCGGGCGACGACTCTGACGTAGCGGCCGCGCTGAACGTCCGTCGGTCGGTCGGTCGTTAGTCCTGTTACGATTTCAACCGCTGCTCGGCATTAAAAAAAAAAAACAGTTATGGTCCATCTTCCCGATCTCGGACTCAGGCCTCCATTGACCACCAGTTTTGGCCGTGCTTCTTCCCTCC